GACGAGTTGGAGGACCCAACTCGACGAGTTGGAGCAGGAATATGAAAACCTAATTTTTAGGGTTTACACCCTATATTAAGGACCTTAAGTCCTTTCCTCTAGCCCCTTACCACCTTTTGACGGCCAGAAGAAACCCTAATCAGTCTAAACCCTATTCTTGAGTGTGTGAGAGGCTAAAGTGTGTTCTTGGTGCATTTGTTGAAGAAGCTTGGAGTTTTAGAAGCGTGGAACGAGAAGAATCCTGTAGATCCAGTGTCTACATTGTCTTGGCATGCATTTGAAGGTAAGAATCCTTTATCTTGGCCTTCCATTTGTTAGATCTCTTCTTATGTGAGAAAAGGGGCATTTTGGTGCAAAAATTGAGTCACTTTCGGTTTTAAGCTTGTCACAAGGGCATAGTTCCAGATTTGGACTCCTCTAGGCCCTTATGGACATAAAGCCTCAGGTTTTATGAAGCTTTGGCCCTCCTCCGTGTCCAAAACCTCCTTCTAATGCTAGTTATAAGTGTTTTAGCTTCATGGAGCCTTGCATGCACGTAAAGTTAGCAACTTTACGTGATAACAACACCCTAGGAGCCTAGATCTACAGTTTGGAGTTTTGACTTCACGTAAAAGCATTTGAATGAGAAATGGACTGAAGGAACTCGACGAGTTGCATGGTCAACTCGACGAGTCGGATGAAGATTGGCCGTTTTTGGTTTCTCCATGGACTCGGCGAGTCAGTGAGATGACTCGACGAGTTAGTAAGGGTTTTTCCCGACATTTGGACACCACATGGACTCGACGAGTTGTCTGGAAACTTGGTGAGTCAGGGTTTTCACGACTTCTTGAGTTCTGAAGGAACTCGACGAGTCAGTTAGCTACACTCGACGAGTTGGGTCAACATGGACTGTTGACCTTGACTTTTGACTTTGACTTTGACCAAGGATTGACCAGTTTGACTTCTGGGGGTATTTTGGTAATTTGGAAATTTATGGAAATAGATTATTGGTGGATGTAGGTGTTTGAGTTTGGAGCTGTATTTGGGGAGTTTAACATTATCATCCTGAGCTACTTGTGAGGTGAGTTCTTCTCACTATATCAACAGGGTCTAAGGCACCAAGGCCGACCCTTTATCATTTGTATCCTGGTTATAGGATTATGCTATGTTAGTGATCTGTTAGATCGGTATCCTGATTATAGGATTATTCTATGTTAGTGATCTGTTATATCGGAATCCTAGTTATAGGATGATGTTATGAATAGTGATCTGTTAGATCTGTATGACTATATGTACATGCTAGCTAGCGTATGATATTTGTGTGCACATGATTGTTTTATTAGGGGTTGGGTTGAGGTGGTCATGCTTTGTGCTTGTGCCAACATACCCAGGGCGGACCGGATAGACTGCATACCCGGTTAGGGCATACTAGTCAGGTCGAAGGCCCGGCGAGTGGTCCGGATAGGCTGAAGGCCCTGAGAGGCGGTACAGACGTGCTGATGGCTCGGAGAGCGGTCCAGACAGACTGATGGCTTGTGAGGTGGTCCAGTCAGGCTGATGGCTCATTATGCATGTTGTTTGCTATGATATGGTCATATTTGTATGGCGTTGGTATATTGGGGGAACTCACTAAGCTTCAGGCTTATAGTGGTTGATTTTTGTTTCAGGTACTTTTGATGATCGCGGGAAGGCGAAGGCGTGATCGTGCACCTCCTTATATTTTTATGCTTTGATTCTGGGATACTCTCACATGAAACCATTTTGAAAATAAATGATTTAAAAAGTTTTAAATTGGCATGATTTTTATGGGTGTTACAGTATCTTAACCCTAATAGACTAGATCTGTAGTTTGGGGCCTTGGATTCGATTGGAAAGGACAGGATATGAAAAGGCTGAAGGAACTCGACGAGTTGCTTAGCCAACTCGGCGAGTTGAGTCGTGTTTTCCTGCTTTCTGGATTCTGAATAAACTCGGCGAGTTGATGAGATGACTCGACGAGTTAGTTGGGGGTTTTCCCGGTTTTCTGAGTTCTGAAGGAACTCGACGAGTTACTAGCTGCACTCGACGAGTTGGATCAACATGGACTGTTGACCTTGACTATTGACTTTGACTTTGACCCGGGTTGACCAAGTTTGACTTCTGAGGGTATTTTGGTAATTTGGGTCTTGATGGAATTGGTCCTATGGTGGTTGTAGGTGTTTGAGTTTGGAGTTGTGATTCGAGAGCTTGATCTTTTCAGTTCCGTTCGACATTGTGAGGTGAGTTCTTCTCACTATACTAACAGGGTCGAAGGCACCAGGGCCGACCCTTTTTGGATTGTATCCTGGTTATAGGATGATGCTATGTTTAGTGATCTATTAGATCTGTATCCTGGTTATAGGATGATTCTATGTTTAGTGATCTGTTAGATCGGTATCCTGGTATATAGGATGATGCTATGATTAGGGATCTGTAGATTTATATGATTGTCTGTACATGCTAGCTAGCGTATGATATTTATGTATTGATTGTGTGATTGCGGGTGGGTTGAGGCGGTCCTACCTTGTGCTCTAGGCCAACAGACCCAGGGCGGTCCGGATAGACTGAAGGCCTACGGGACGTACCAGTCAGGTCGAAGGCCCGGAGAACCGTCCAGACAGGTTGAAGGCCCGGTAGGGCGAACCAAACATGCTGAAGGTTCTGAGAGTGGGCCAGATAAACTGAAGGCTCAGCGAGGGCGGTCCAATCATACTGAAGACTCTATATGCATGTTGTTTGTTATGTTTATTGTTCTGGCTTATATGGCGTTGGTATTTTGGGGGAACTCACTAAGCTTCGGGCTTATAGTTGTTGATTTTGTTTCAGGTACTTTGGATGATCGCGGGAAGGCGAAGGCTTGATCGTGCACCTCCTCACATTTTATGACTTTGATTTATGGGATTCTCTGATATGAAACTATTTTGAAAATATTTTGTAATAACTAATAGTTTTTGAATGTTTAAAAAACTTTAAAATTTGCATGAATTTTATGGATGTTACACATTAGATGTATTTTTCTCTTATGACATTAAATGTGTAACTTTGTAGGGAACTCCAAAAATAAAGCCTAATAGTGATCTGCAGCATGTCGTTGAGGTTATCATTTTTTTATTCATGTTGGAGAACTTTTTTGTTTATTTATGATCTAATGGTGTTTTAAAATGCTTTTGTTTTTTGAAGATTAAAACTCCATAGCATATTGAAAAAAATAGAGAACCTACCCGAGTAAGTTTATTACAAATCTTGAATTTGTTTAATTTAATAGTTAGAAATTACTAGAGTAGTAAAATAAATAGTTATAATTCAAACGGTATAAGCAACCATTTCTGCTGCTATGTGGATGTAATTTTTCGTTCTTTTAAAGAAAATGAAATATATTTTGAATTTGGTATTTTGAATACATTTATATTTTTTTTTCAAATGCCGTGTTCTAAAATATGTTTTTTTATTCGTTTTTAATTTTGGCAAATTTTATTGCAGACTTCATATGAGGAAAGTTTGTTTTAATGATTCAGATATAGGAGATAAGACAAAGTGGCTTAAAGAAGACATGGGTTGCATTTTGTTTTTTTTTGGAAATGAAAGGTATCAAAATTGTAACATATGCCTACCAAAACTTTTTAACAAAGTTTAACAAGATTATTATTTATAATGTTATCATGTGATTTCAGGTTATAGATTTTGAGCTCTCAAATCAAGTTAAGGTCATTGTGGTTGAGGTTGATCCTGGTTTGAAAGGCGACACGTCTTAAGGTATTCAACATATTTATAGAAGAGTTAATTTTCAGAAATACCCTTGAATGGTAGATAAAAAAAGAGGACATTTTGTGCAATAGAAACAATAACAAATGTGGTTTTTGATTTTATTGCTAAAGAACATGTTGGCATGGTAATATGCTAAAAATAATGACTTTGAAAAAACAATCCATGAAAAAGCTTTATATTTGATGAACTATTGTGCAACCTTAGTGTTACTAAATACAAAGAGTTTATATGAAATCTTTATTTATAATTTTTCTAGTGTGAATTGTAGTTTTCATTTTCAAGAAGGAAACCAAATTTCACTCGGACATACGGAACCCAAAGATTAGAGGTGCAAACATGTATGATTGGGTTTTGGCTCTCTCTCTCTCTCTCTCTCTCTCTCTCTCTCTCTCTCTCTCTCTCTCTCTCTCTCTCTCTCTCTCTCTCTCTCTCTCTCTCTTTTTGAGATTTACTTACAAATAGGTCCTGTGACTTTGACTGATTTTAGTGTTCAAACATTGCGAGTCAATTTTTTTTTTTTGCAATGATCTGAGAATTAAGCAATCAATATTACAGGTACCACTTGAAATCTCTTTCAGAATTGATTGTTTGGTTGTAGGAGGTTTAACCGAATGAGAAAAAAAAACAGTTGATATAAAAAGGAACGAAAAAAAGGTAACCCAGAGGAATGATTCTTCTAGTTGGGGACTCTTAACACTTTAATGTGGCACATAGTAACACTAGTTATTAGTTAACATGAACAACATAGTAACACTAGTTAACATGAACAACATACTTTCCAAACGAATACCGTCCAACTCCACAATGCGGGGAACCTTTTCTAAAATGGGAATGACTTATGACTTATGAATGGGTTTCAGCCGCTAGCTAATTTGCTCATCTGATGACGGTTTCCGGCGTTAAAAAATAAGAACCCGTTTCATCTTTTATTTGGATGCACGATGTCTTTCTGGAAAACTGTTGTTGTTTGAATCCACATCTGATTGAGTTGATGGTAATACTATAATACTGTAGATATAATGTTGATTAAATATATAAATTAGGAAGACGTATAACTATTTCAATTATTACTTCGTTTACCATTAGTTTTTACTTGATTGACGATAAACACTCAAAATTGATTCTAGCAATAATAAATAAATTGTGACAACTACTAAACTATTGCATATATATTAAATTGCATCATGTACAAGTAATAATAGCATCACTCCCATAACATTCATTAAAGTTTGCCATAATCAAACAAATTCAACAGAAACCATCGACTCGGCTTCATCTTCCTCCACCAAATCCTCCTCCCTGCGATACCCTCCAAATCCATTTCTCCATGACTTTCCGATCACCCTTTTTGCCTCCACATCAGCTGCTGCTGTTGCTGCCCCACTGGAGAAACAACGTCTTGAAGAACAAAATGATGAAGACGACGACGTGTAGCAAGTTTCAGCATCATGGTGTTTGATCAGAAGCTCAGACAAAAGCAATACAAGAGAAGCCATTGTTGCCTTTCTGTATTTTACACACACATAACTCCTTCAAGATGAGTATATATATAAAGATTACATAGAAAGCTCAGCCCATGCTAACAATAAATTATATACGGTTGGCGGGTGGCTGGTGGTAATCTGTTGACTGTTGTTTCTTTCTTCGGCTGTTGGTTTTTTATTTCCATGAATTGTATTAAAATAAAGGGTAAGCTATAATATTAAAGTAGTTTATTGGTAGGAAATACTTACAAGTTTCATCAAACTATAAACAAATCAAAGAAATATATATACAATTTCCGTATTTATTTTATTTTATATAAATGGGTTAATTTCATATATATATATATATATATATATATATATATATATATATATATATATATATATATATATATATATATATATATATATATATATATATATATATATATATTCAATTGAGAAATAAAAAGGGTTGAGGTGGGGGAATCATTCTCAGTCAATTCATTTATATTTTTTCCGCAAAACGCTCCGGCGTATCGGACTGACGGATGAAGAAAAATATTCATATATGAATATAAATATAAGTGTATTCATATATGAATACACCACCTCCACTCTGCCACCAACCACCACCAATGTCGTCACCAACCATCACCGCCACCTCCGTCACCACCACTACCTTCACAACCAACCACCACCAACAACCGTCACTACCGCCACCATCCACCGACGTCATATTCATATATGAATAATCACTTCCGTTATACTTATTCATATATGAATAAACTTATTCGTACGTATTCATAAATGAATATGATATGTTCTGTCGCCCACACTATTATTTTGTTATGATGATTATGATAGAATCGCATGCTAGTTTATAGGCTAGGGATCCTCAGGAATTGCATGATAGAATTGTCTGATGTGTGATGCCTAATAGCTAGGAGAACTTCTTGTATGATAGATGAAATTGACATCTTTACTATAGTTGCTTAGTTTGTGCATCATAGTTATATATAACTAAGATTTTATAGCCGGAGAATGTTTGATATAGCCTTATTTCCTATTATTTGTCTGGTTGTGGGTTTAGGGTAGAATAAAGTATTAGACTGTCTATGGAATCCAACGTTATGTAGTATTAGCATGAACGAGCGGTTGTAGGGTTGGTGGAAGTTTCATGAGTGAATGTAGGTGTAGCAGGCCAGTTGAGGGATGATTAGCCACTATCAAGAGAGTGAGTATAGGATGTATGTGTATCTTAGTTGTTGGGTTTGTTTTCGGGTAGTTTTTTATGATCCATTGAGACAAAATACGTGTAGGTGTGAAAGGTAGTATGGGACCGTACTATTGAAATCACAAGACCCGTGCACGTAGCAAGGAAGTCACGAACCCCGAGGGTGTAGTCTTTCCGTAATGATTGAAATAGTATGAATTGTGGCATTTCTGATATATTTTTGGTTCATTTTCAGTATGGAGTTTACGAGGGGTTCATGATCTGGAGCTGGTAGCCAAAATAAGCCATGATTGTTAAATGATGACATTCACGAGTTGAACACCACTAACGTAGTTGCTGCTGTCCAGGGTGCCATCCCCGAGGTTTTTGGTCTATCAAGACCGCGATGGTTGAGTTATTTGATGAGTTGTACGACATTGTGTCTCAGGGTGCTGCTATTACAACCACTGCAGTTGTTGTTGTTGTTGGGGTTCATAGGAGAGGATCATTCCATTATTAGGACTTCAACAACATCAAGCCCCCGAAATTTGACAGGGTCAAGGACCCGATTGTGGCCATAAGATGGATTTTGATAGTTTCATTTTATTTACTTCTTTTTATAGTTTATTTTAGCATATTTTATTTTATTTTTAGTTAATTTTCATGCCTATTTTTCCTTTTTGTAATTTTATATTTATATCGGTTACTTTCGAGTTTTTGATCTTTATTGCAGATATTTGGAGAAATGGAGCAGAGCATGGAAAGATATTCATAAGACTAACGAAGTTCGGGCGAGTGATCGGGATTGTTGAAGGTTATCAAAGAGAGTTGGATTGAAGATTGATGTCATTGGAGCTTACTTTGAAGATTTAATAGAAGAAAGTTGAGCTTGGTGGATTGGAAGATGGAGTCAAATGGGTTTGACCAAGAATAGATGGAAGAAGTTTGGGATAAATGATATGATATTTGGGTTATGGAGTCTTTGGACCTATATTCATTAAATGTGGGCTAATTGATGTGGTATTTGGGCTATTATAATCACTCAAAGAAGTCAAAGCTAGAGGATAAAATTGGACCAAAGAGGAAAGGGGGACAACAAACTTTCCATGATCAGCACTTCTCACGAGGCTGTGTGAGATTTTACTCTGCAGGTCACGAGGCCGTGTGGCTTCTGCAGGGGCAATTTCGGGTTTTCATCTTTTATGGTTATTTGAAGGTAGTTTGGTGGGAGATTTTGGGGAACCTTTGGATTAGATTTTGGGGCATTTCTCCTTGAGTTTTTGGAGCTTTGAAGACCCTTGATGAACACTTAAAGATTAGGATTTTTCATCTTGTTTTCTTGGAGTAATGTGTGGTATTTCTAAACTCTTTTTAATTTGCTTAAACCTAGCTATGTTAGTCTAAGTTAATCTTGGTTGATATTGGTAGAAATCTTTGAATGTTTGGTTTATTTTGAAGAACTTCAAGAACTTACGATGAATCTCTATGGAAGTATTTTATATTATAACATCCTTATGTGTTCATGTATCTTTAATCATGAGTTTAGATGTGTGAATTTTTTGTTAGTTGGTTAATTTCTTGATTATGTAATAGATCTTCAAATTAACAAGCAACAATTCATTTAAGTGTTTGTGTTCATTTCATTTGTGTCAAGAAAGTATTTCCTCCATAATGTTAATGAAAGCATATAGATTATCTGTTGGACTTGGTGACTCTTAAACCTTAATGCTAGTTGATTTTCTCAAATTATATGTTTCATTGATTTGTGACTTTAACTAAGAAAATGTGTTATGAGCTTCTCTAGCCATTGTATTAACAAAGAAGAGTCTAGGTAATTGCAAGCTTCTTGGATTACTATAGCCAAATTAGAAATTCACTACAAGTATTGCACCCTTGAGTTCTAATGATTTATTAACCAAATGTTCAAGTGATGAAAATCCAATGTCAACCATCTTTTTCTCATTGATTTGAATCAAACTCTTTACTTTTTTTCTTGCAATTTCTACATTCTAGCATAATTTTAATTTTCTCAAAGCAACCAAAAACATTTAAACCCCCATTTTTTTTACTTTTGTTTATGTTTCATAAGTGCTTGACCAAGAGGCTTTCATAGAGTTATAAAATTGAACCAATCTCCGTGGATACAATCTCTTTGCCATTATACGCTATTTTTGTGTACAATATTAAGGGTATTTATTTTGTTGGCCTCGACAACCACCAGATTTCTGACGTGGAGCGTTGTTTCTTCACATGTTCCTATTCGGAGGATTGGAGGGTCAGGTGTACCCTGAACCTTCTTCGACTGGGTATGAAGGACTGGTAGAACCTGGTGACCGGTTCTTAGACTCTTGAGTAGAGAATTATTGTTACTTGGGAGCAGTTCTTAGAAATTTTTCGCACTAGGTATGTTCCCCTAATGGAGAGGGAGAGGTTAGCTCAGGAGTATCTGGATTTGAGGCACACGAAGGAGTCGGTGACAGAGATCAACAAGATGTTTACTGATAGGGTTCTTTTCTGTCTTGAGTATACTACTACGGAGCAGGCTTAGATGGCGTGAAACGTAAGGATGCTCAAGACTGATATTCGACAGTTTGTGTCAACCCAGCGTTACATTACCCTCTCTGAGCTACAGGATGTCGCACGGAGACGAGATATTGAGATTGAGACTCAGACGAGGGAGCAGAGGCAGGCCCCCATTTAGTCACAGCCTGCAGCAAAGCGGTTTAAGCCCACTAATTCACGATCTTTAGGATATAGGGGTCGTACTTGTGGCAAGTGTGGCAAGGTTCATGAGGGTGTGTGTCGATCTTCTTCTCGGTACCATAAATGTGTCAAAGAGGGGAATTATGTGAAGGATTGTCGTCGGCATGCCTCATTAGCGAGCACTAGGATTTGTTACCATTGTGAGTAGGTTGGCCATGTGAAGGCCAACTGTCCCTTGCTAGTTGCCAGACCAGTGCAGGCACCAGCCCCGACTACGTTGAGGATCACGGATGGACGCTAGATCAGGGTGTAGCCCCCGAGGGCTCGAGGTCGTGCTTTACGGCTCACAGCGGAGGAGGCCAGGGCGGTGCCGGACGTCGTTACTGGTATGTTTCCATTTATAATTCTATCAAGTTATTTTATTATATGCTTATGATTATTATTATGTTAGGTACCTTCTTAGTGAATTCCTTGCATGCTCTTGAGCTTTTTGACTCGGGTGCGAGTCGGTCCTTTGTGTCTCATTCCTTCGGTAGGAGTTTTGATATGTCTCTTGGAAAGTTGGATTGTCCATTTGCGGGTGTCTATCACTATGGGGGATGTATGTGTGATAGTAAGATGGAATGGTTGAGCAGATTTGGTGCTATGATAGACTGTGAGGGACATCAGATTATGGTTCGAACTGCAAGTGGGGGAGAACTGATCATTTATGGTGAGGGTACCAGGGTTGGATCAACCTTTTGTTCTGCTGCTAGGTCTTAGTAGTACCTTTAGCATGTATGTTCCGGATATCTTTCTTATGTGATTGACACTCAGATGGAGAAGGGAGTTTCAGTTTTGGGTGTGTCTATAGTCAGAGAGTTTCTATATGTATTCCCAGAGGAATTACCAGGTGTACCTCCTGCAAGGCAGGTTGTCCTCTCAGCATCAGGAGTTGTTAGGAAAGTAGTTTATTAGACCGATCAGTTCGCCTTAGGGAGCACCGATTTTGTTATTCAAGAAGAAGGATGGTTCACACCAGATATGCATTGATTACCAGGAGCTGAACAAGTTAACGGGTGAAGAACCATTACCCACTTCCATAGATTGATGAACTCTTCGATCAGTTACACTGTGCATCTTGGTTCTCCGAGATCGATTTGAGGCCAAGGTATCACCAGATGAGGTTTAGAGAGGAGTACGTCGAGAAGACTGTGTGCTAAACTCGTTATGGTCATTATGAGTTCATGGTGATTCCATTTGGGCTCACCACTGCGCCTGCGGTATTCATGGATTTGATGAATCGAGTATACAGGTTGATGCTCGATCGAACGGTGTTAGATGCATTTCATGCATTCATTTTGTAGTTTTAGTTCATAAAAGTGCATTGCATTTAGGTTTAAACTCATGCATTTTGCATATTTTTCGGGATTTTTCATGATGCAATTCCATTCACACACTTTTATGATATTTCAGGGACTTTTGAAGGTTGGATCTTGATGGAGGAAGTTAAAAAGAGTTGGAGATAAAGTTTCAGAAGTTTTGGAGCATTGAAGAGAGAGAGAATGAAGAAATGAAGATTTGAGCCTTTCAGACATTTACACGGCCGTGTAAATGATGGCTTATAGTTTACACGGGCCGTGTAAACGCATATGCAAGAGCATTCTACTTTTCTTGTTTACACGGTCGTGTAAATGGCACCCTTTAATTTACACGGGCCGTGTAAACGTCTCGACAGTTTTTAAAGTAGTTTTACTCTCATATAATTCAGACAATCAGTTTTGTTGGAGGTTAGGTCGGATTTTGGGCAGAGAGAAGGCGATTTTCAGAGCTTTTGGAAGTAGATT